CATTACTCCATAGCAATTGTTTTTACCCTAGCTACAATCCAGTTAGAGCTCCAATTCCTTCTGTTTTTCCTCAAGTCATCTTCTGAGGAGATATTTTCCTTATTCTATCTGAAATTTTAGGAGTCCCATCTAACACTTCAAATCCTCCTTCAGGCTTGTTGTTTATCATCTACACAATCTGTGTCCTGTTTGTACTTATCTTCACTTTTTTCTGCCTTCTCACACAAAATGCCAGCTCCAAGAAGACACTGGTTTACATCTCAGCTGTTCACAGCTCTATTTGCTGTGTGTGGAACAGTACTGGAATATAGCACATTTTTTTTTTTTTTTTTGGTTTTTCGAGACAGGGTTTCTCTGTGTAGTCCTGGCTGTCCTGGAACTCATTCTGTAGACCAGGCTGGCCTCGAACTCAGAAATCCGCCTGCCTCTGCCCCCCAAGTGCTGGGATTAAAGGCGTGCACCACCACCGCCCGGCTAACACATTTTTTAGTTAAAGTAATGACGAGATTAGATGAAAAACAGGATGTAATGGGACCAGCAAAGAGAAGTTTTAAAACTGCAATTTTTTAACAGAGAGGAAAAAGACTTGGAAGTGTATTGATGACAGTAGAATTGAATGTAAACGGTAAATGCTCACATCAGGTAGAGGATGAAACCTCAGATGATGAGGAACAGGTTAATGAAATCTTCAGCAACAAAGGTTACCAAGATAAATAAAGAAGCAATCAGGAAAAAAGGAAGAAAATGAGGAACTAGGTCTAGATTAGAAGAAATAATAACCTAATGTTTTGGGCATAGCATTTGACTGCTTTCCAAATAGTGAAGAATGCTGTAGTTCTCAGGATACGAGGTGGGTCAGAGGTGGAGAATGAAACTTCTGAATTCAGCAAGAATATCACAGATTCATCCCAGGGAGACACATCATCTAACTCTGTTGAATAAAATATTGTTAAATCCCACAGTGTTTGTTCAAGTTCCTTTCTCTGTTGAGTTTGTCTTTCAGATACTCACAAGTGAACACATAACATTGGAGCGTACCAGAATCACTGTATTGGAAAATCTCAGATACAGACATTTAGTTATTGTAGTCCAGCAGAGATACTTACCACCTTCAGCATCTTCAAAACTCTCGAGAATTGAATGGATCTTCTCTTTTATGGCTGAAAATAAACCTAGAGTACTTCATTACACTTCTTAATAACAAAGCCCTTTTGCAAACAAGCAGGCCATGAGCAGAACTTGAGATGAGTAATCACATCCGAGCAGTTTAGATGATCAGTCATCTTACATGTGCATAAAATATTAAACATAATGAACATGTTAGAGGGCTATTGATCTATTCCTGTCCAAGTCACAACAAAACATGATTGGTTTCTTAGTGATTGAGAGCGTTTATTAGACCCTGGGGCTTATCCACGTGAATAAGTAGAAGGCCTTCGTTGCATGATTTCCAGTAGTGCTCAGACATCTGAACTCCTAACTCACCCAAGAGTTCAGCAAGTGCTGTGTATTGAATATTGAATTAATGTGGAAAGGTTGTTATGCAATAAGCCTGATATTTATGGCTGTTCTTATTTGTAGCATTAATTTTACGACCTCAAATTCTATCCCAATCACAAACTTCAAACATCATGATCAGTATGTGCAGCTTCCATTTCAACAACATCCTCCAGTGTCTTCTCGAAACTTCTTCGCATTCCTCTCTTCTCTTTTATCTTTTTTTTCTTCTGTTTTCCTTTCTCCTTCTACATCCCAGGAGCCATCTTCATATCTGTTCTTGTTGTATTTTGGTTCAACTATGGGAAATGCCTGCCCTTTCTCACCCAGTCAACTCAACCCATTTTTTTAAAGACAGGGCTTCTTCAGATGTGTACGAATGGAGATAATGTGAAGCACCTATCTTAAAATGACTTGAAGTAAGCATCGATTTCATCAGGAAGGTTCATTTTTTAACAGTTTACTTTCTAAGAGTCTCCTTCAGTTGAACTGATTAGTTCCATTATAGCCAAGATACAGTTGAGTATGCCCACTCTCTCAGTTGTTCAACTGAGGCTCCAGACATGACTGAGCTCCTTCTAGACCATCCATCCCCAGATGATTTAGTTCACAAGAGGGAACCACACAATCAGTGCACAGATGAATAATATGTATTAAATAGCCATTATTTTAAGATATTATATTTTGGGTGGTATGCTACAGAGTAAGAAGCTCTTTACTTCTGCTCTATTGAAGAACAGCCCTACACTGTGTCTTCTGTTCTCCTAAAACATTATAATTTCAATACTAATGAAAGAAACCACAATCTTTTCTACTAATTTCTAGAGCCTATACCAATTCACATCAAATCTGCAAGGGAAATTAATAACAATCTCATTTTACCAACATACAAATTGTGGATTAAAGAGACTATGTAAATTGTTCAAGTTTATACTAGCACTAATATTTATGGATGTTATATTTGAACCCAGGACATGTATTAATCTCTAAGATTAGCATTGTGTCAAAGCTTAAGTGTTAAGTTCTCAGGTCTAAAAATTGGACCTATATTAATATGAGTTAAACTTTTCATTTATCATTTTAACCTGGTCCTTATCATAATCCTTAATATAACAATGTTATGCAAGCAAGTACTTACTGAACTAAAGTACTTACTTGAACACTGCATCTCTTTCCAGATACCTGTTTCTGGTTCGTCTTTGTTCTTCTTGCCTACTCTCTCACCAAAACAAAATAAAACAAATTGCATGAAAATGTCACTTTTGTATTTATAAGAGTTCTGATTTGAAGCATTCTTTAAAATGATTTTCCATTCCACTTTGTAGATTTTTAAAAATGTCTTGTTGTAACTGTCACTGTGCTGCGTGACTATTCCATAGCTCACAGGAATTCTATGACTCTGGCTCAGAGCTCAGTGTGGTGATCATTTTAATGACAATTTCAAGACTTTGGTATCAATTAAGAGGAAACTGTCAGAACTGGTTAGAGTAGGGAGCTATAAATATTAGCTTCTCCAGGATAGGATTTACTGAAATTTTAATCTGAATTTCTTTTTTTGTTTGTTTTGTTGTTTCATTTTGGTTTTTAGGTTTACATCAAACAAATCAGGCACTTTCTATGTTTTAGTGATTGCCTTTCTGTGTCTTAGTGAGTGTTGTAGTCCTGGTACATTTAACATCAAACTAATTTTCCCTATATATCCTATATATACATACTGGATACATATTACCTATCCAGTGAGTACTCAGTTCCCTCTCTCTCTCTCTCTCTCTCTCTCTCTCTCTCTCTCTCTCTCTCTC